TTGTCTCGAAAAACCAAAAAAAAAAAAAAGAAAAAAGAAAGAAAGAAAATTCCCCTGGAAATCAAATCCCCCATACTGACCACCCCTCCAAAACCACCACCACCCTCCTGGGTGTTTCTCTATCTCAAAATGACAAACCAAAAGGAGTCAGAACCATTGGCTTCAGTTTAGATGCTTTAATAGCAAGTCTGATTAGCCCCCCAGGTAGTAGACCCCGTGACTGGTTGAGGCTGAAGGGGTAGTGGACTCTCCAGCCTCTGAGACCCAGGTATCATCAGTCCTCATCGGTTTCTGGTATCTCATCGTCCACAGATTTGTTGTTGTCTTCGAAGAGTTGGTGGAGCTGCTCGTTGTTCTGTACCACTTGATAGACGTGGTCTGGGCTGATGCGCTTCTTGCCGCTCACGTGGGCTTCTTCGCCAGCCAACTCAAGGATGTTAGATGTCAGGTACTCGAGTACACCAGCTAGGAACACAGGTGTAGATGAACTCAGGCGCCGGGAGTAGTTCCCCTCTCGCAGGAAGCGGTCTACCCGGCTAACAGGAAATTGAAGTTTGGCTCTTGTGGAACGGGAAACGTTCCGTCTTCGCCTTTTCCCGGCCATGGTGCTTGTTCGATGGGATTGGTTCAGCTCCACCTCTCTTCTGGCCTTAGGTCTCTCAAAATAACCAACCCTCTTAACTACCCGCTTATTTATCTCTGCTCAGCAGGAGAGGTCTTTGTTACAACATAGACTTTATGATCTCACTAGTGTCCACTGAGCTCTGATGTTCAGTGCAGAAATATGCCCATATTAGGAAATTGCTCACCTTTTCATGTGTGTGTTGTGTATACACGTGCACATGTTGGGCAGGCGTGCGTGCGTGCGTGCGTGCGTGCGTGTGTCCGTGTGTGTGTGTGTGTGTGTGTGTGTGTGTGTGTGTGTGTGTGTGTCCTGAAGTTGATATCTGGAATCACCCTTGTTCACTCTTCTATCTTATTTACTGAGACAAAATCTCTCAATCCAAGCTAGAGCTCACCAATACAGAGAGTCTTATTAGCCACCTTGCTTGAGAGATCCTGCCTTAGCCTTTCACAGCTGGAATTACAGGCAAGCCTGCAAGCCCACCTGGTTACATCCCCTTTTTATTTGATGTTTATATTCTGAAAAGATCTATGTGTCAGTGGAAAACTTCTGCCATGGGATGCAACTCCAGGTTATGCATCAGACTGTAGTTTTGCCTCAATTTACATAGTCACCTCAATGTTCCTAATCAGTATTCCTGTTTCTAGTTTTTACTCTTCTTTGAACTGCTCGTCACATTTACCACTCCATTTAACATCTGCCAGATATTTGCATGTTAAGTATTTATTTATTTATTTATTTATTTATTTGGTTTTTCGAGACAGGGTTTCTCTGTGTAGCTTTGCACCTTTCCTGGAACTCGCTTTGTAGCCCAGGCTGACCTCGAACTCACAGAGATCTGCCTGCCTCTGCCTCCCGAGTGCTGGGATTAAAGGCGTGCACCACCACCGCTCAGCTCATCATGTTAAGTATTTAACAGGTATTCATATCTCTTTGAGGATTTTGATTTTTACCATTTTAGATAATCTTACTACCCATTTTGGAGCATATCCACACATATACTTACCTGATTCACTTTATACTAGACACTACAGCCATTTCAAGTTCAATGACAGAAACGTACTCCCATGCCTTTCTGCACTTCATGCGAATCCTATGCATCAACAGAACATTTTTTAAAATTTATTTTTACCATATATTAATTGTATAAATTAATGGGTTTTGTTTTGATACTTCCATTCATACACATAAATTTTTATATTTATTTATTGGAGAGCATGAATGCTATGACATGCATGTGGGAGTCGTGGAACAACTTGCAGGAGTTGGTTCTCTCTTTCCACCGTGTTGAGGTCACTGGATGTAAAGACAAGAGCTCTTAACAATAAAGTCACCTCTCCAGCTCTGTTTTTTTTACTCTGTTTTTACTATTTTGTTTTCCTGATTTCTAGTTTTGTGTGCTGTTTTTTTCCCTATCCCTTTACAGTTGATGTTATTCTCCATTGTGAACAATATCGACTGACAATTTTCTGATTTTGTTTTATTTTCTTTTAAGATAAAGTTTACATAACACAAATTTTACCATCTTAGCCAATTATAAAATTTGGTGTCTATTTACAACGTTATGAAATTATTAGCATCCCACCATGATCACTGCTTATACTATTCCCATGGAAACTGCTTCCTGGAAATCAGATTCAAATGTCCTTACAGCTCTCATACCTCCCAATCCTTTACACAGTAGCTTTTAGGTATTAAGAGGCCTAATGCCCCAGTCTGGTCTCAAATTCTTATAGAGACATGGATGACCTTGAACTTCTGATACTCCTGCCTCTACCTCCCAAATGCTGAATTATAGGCAAGTGTCCCCATACCTAGTTTATTCTGTGCTAGTGCAGGAGATCAAACCCAGAGCTTCGGGCATGTTAGGCAAGTAGTCTAGCAACTAAGTCACATTCAAGACCCCCACCCCTTTTTGAGGCAGGCTGGCACCAAGGTATCTTAGACTTATCTTCCTGTCCCAAGTGTTGTAGTATAAGTGTGCACCACCACACTTGGCCTGTGTGGTTCTGGGGACTGAACCCAGGGCTTCATGCATGCTAAGTAAACCCTCTCCCAACTGAGCTAGGACAAATTCCTAGCCCCCTTTGTGTTTCTTCTGTTCTTTTGTCTTTCTCTTTCTATGGTACTGAGAACTGAACTGAAGGCCATGTGCATGCTAGGTAAGCACTCTTCCACTGACCCATATCCCTAGTCCTACCTTCTGACATCCATTGAAAACAGACTTATCTCCCTTCACACACCCATTTCAATATTCCTTCTTATATTCCCAGGTCTGTTCTTCGGTCTATCTTTTGAGGTAGTTTTAACATCTTCTTTTTCTCTAATGATCTACATAGAATCTTCATATTTATATTTCATTTTGTGAAAATTCTAAAACTTAAATAAAAAAACATACCACAGAATCCTGCTCCTTGTCCAGAGATCTTCTATGACTACAACTGTGGCAGGGGCCTGGAAACTCTCTTAGCATCTCCTTTGCTTCACCTTCATAGCTACTTAATCATCAGTCATTCCTTTCCCATATCTTTAATACTGTTCCAAGAATCCATTTTGACTATTCTATTCGAACACATTATCACTGTCACCTCAGAAACTGTAGCAACCCACTTACTTACTTATTCCTTCCCTTACTACCTTCCAATTCATTTCCCAGAGTACTCATTTTCTAACACTAAATCTGCTTATGACACTGTATTGCTTAAAACTCATCAGTAGCTTCCCACTGCATGTGGATTAACACTTTTAAATCCTAAGATGCTTTATGTTGTTTTTCCTTCATCTAGCTTCTCTGCCTCAATGGCTATTTTTAAATATAAATCTAAGTTCTGCAAAACTTTGACTCATTTCCAAGCTTGGTTAGAATCCACACAGTCTCCCTAACTTTCACTTTGCATACTATATCAGAAGTAAAATAAATACATGATTAATCATTTATTTCATGTCTGTCATTTTCTTCCAAGGTGACAGGAGCTGTCTACTTCATTAACACTTTATCCACAGAGACAAACACGGAGACTAGAACACAGAACATACTCAATAAATCTTCATTGCAACCATGAGTGAAACCACACAAATCTAATCTTAGTGCATGGTTCCTCTAGTAGACTGTAGGTGATTTCCCTCTTCAGGAAGATGAAAAGAACATCATCTACCTCACAGGACACCATGAGAAACAAATGCTATGAGGTTCATCACAGTACCTGGAATAAAATAAGTGTTCATGGAATAATCTTTTTTTTTTTTTTTTGGTTTTTCAAGACAGGGTTTCTCTGTGTAGCTTTGCGCCTTTCCTGGAACTCACTTGGTAGCCCAGGCTGGCCTCGAACTCACAGAGATCCGCCTGGCTCTGCCTCCCGAGTGCTGGAATTAAAGGCGTGCGCCACCACCGCCCGGCGGAATAATCTTTATTACAGCCAATTTTACCTCCTATAGTACAATAGAGAAGAGTACTCTTAAGCCTGAGCAAGGCAAATGCTAAGCTGTCTGGACCTTCCCAGAGCAGTATACTCTTAGAATTCTAACCTGGGTTTAAGACCAACATATCCTCCAAGACGCCAGAGACTTGAAGCTACTGCTGAAAAATGACTAAACTGAGGGAGTCAAAGGATGGCCACCTCACTCAAGATAAAAGCTCACAGGGACAGGGTCCCTGTTATTTGTTAACTATACAAAAACTTTCTAATAGTACATAATATTATTTATATGAAATAGGCACAATAGACAAATCCATAGAAACCACAAGAAGATTCATGGTTGCTAAGGGCTAGAGAGCAAGGAAAATAGTGACTGATAATGTGTAGGTTTCGTCTATGTTCTAAATTTTGGAATCTAAAATAATAGGTAACAGCTATCTTGGCACAACACTGTAAATATACTAAAACCATTGAATTTGTTCTACAAATTAGACTGCATTAAAAAAATGAAACCTCCAGTTATCATGTAGCTGGCTCCATGATTCCTAAGACCAGGTCAGAAAAGATGACACAGTTTCACACTTGGAAGCAGTACCAGGCTGTAAGGAAGCCCAAACTCTCCCCACATGGAAAAGAGGTGAGACTCTAAGAACATGTCAGTAAATGAGTCTTCAATGAATTCTAGCTCTCACATATTTGAGCCACCTCAGCTGGTTCACACTAGAGCACAGGTGAACTTTTCCTTTTGAGCCCTGGTGAAAATACAAATTCATAAGACTCCCCCCCGCCCCCAAAAAAGTGTTATCATTTTAATTCCCTGGGATTTTAGGTTAGCAAACCGAACATAGATTCAGAACAAATGAACACATAGATGGATTTCACCTGAATAAAAATTGTTTTGCTTCTTAATTTGAACCTCCAAGGCAAGCAGAAATTTTTTAAAAAGCAGGCATACATACCTCTTCCAGTAGTGATGCTCTGCTGTAAGACGGTAATATACAGCTGTAGGGTCAGTTGTGGGGCAGAGCCTAGGAAAGCCTGGATCACTGATGCCCGACTGAAGGCAGAACGGTGGGTAAACATCTTGCCTTCTGCCTGGCCCACCTCCTTCTCAACCTCCTCGGAGAGGCCATCTTTTGGCATCTGCCGTTTCTTAGTGATGCTCACATAAGGCTCTTCATTCTGGTTGGACTGACAGTAGAGGCAAAAGACTTCAAAACACCTAGAAACAAATGAATGAGTCATAGAAATGAGTGACTGGCAGAACTCTGTCCTTTCCCAGTCATCCTGTTTTCACTTAGCCTGATTCTCAAACCCTCGCCCAGCTATTCTAAATCTCTCCAAATCAGTCACTCTCAGGATCGGTTCTAAGGAGTCAGTCTATAAGCTCTCCAGTAGACCATTGGGAATCGAGTGAGAATCAAGCAAAGGTGACATTGAAAGCTTCCAAGGCAAAGAAAACAAGACAATGGGAAGTAGTTCACACTCTAGAGCCACAGAAAAAGGTTTAGTTTTTCTTCTTGACACACACTAGCTCTGCAGCTGTAGATAAAGCCCTTATATTCTGAACTTTTCCCCTCAATAATAAAATAGAGAAGATACCTACTTTGTCATCCTGCTGTGAAAGAGGACTAAAGGGTATAAGGCTCTGTGTGTGTGTGTGTGTGTGTGTGTGTGTGTGTGTGTGTGTGTGTGTGTTAATGTCCCATATAAAATTGATGCCACAAAGCACCCTAGTAAAAAAAAGAATGTGCAGGCTCACTCCTATAATCTCTACACTCTCTAGACTCTAGGGTCTAGAGGCTGGGGCAGAATGATTGCCAAGCATTCAAGGCCAGCTTGGGCTACACAGTGAGTTACAGATTAGCCTGGGCTACAATAAGGCTGAGAGGTGGTAGAGGAAAGAGAAGGGAGGGAGGGAGAGAGGGAAGGAGGGAACATGAAGATGAATAAAGTTGGGTATGTGTACAGTTGCTGGTCATTTAGAATTTCATTGGAAGACCACAACAAATTACCTATTTCTTTATCCTAATAAGCCCATATAGGCCATGGCTAAATTCAAACATGCCCAGGAGTTGGCAAATGTCTTATTTAAGTATTCCCAAGCCCACTCTGGGGACACATCCTTAACTAGTGACTCAAATTTTTCCCTCTATGTAATATTATAGATAGATACTAATGGAAAGAAAAAGTATTGGTGCCTATGATTTGCTTTGAAGCATACATACACACAGAGAGAGCCACATACATAGATGGGGAGAAATGGAAAGAGAGAGACTGAAATTGATTTGATGGATGGAGAGATGGAAAGATACATGAAACAAAATGTTCTAGTTGGAAGTTTTCCTGTGTCCCACACGGTCAGCAACCACTCAAACCCCAATAAACACACAGAAGCTTATATTAATTATGAACTGTATGGCCATTGGCTCAGGCTTATTATTGACTAGCTCTTACATTTAAGTTAACCCATAATACTTATCTATGTTTAGTCACATGGCTTGGTACCTTTTCTCAGTTCTGCCTTGACATCTTGCTTCCTCTGTGTCTGCCTGGCAATTCCTGACTCAGCCTTCCTCTTCCCAGAATTCTCCTTGTCTGCTTGTCCCACCTATATGTCCTGTCTGGCTACTGGCCAATCAGAGTTTTATTTATCAACCAATCAGAGCAACACATATTCATAGCACACAAAACGCCATCCCACAGCACTTCCCCTTTTCTGTCTAATCAAAAAGGAAGGATTTAACTTTAACCTAGTAAAATTACATGTAATAAAACAGTTATCAAGCAAGAATTACAGTTATAATATCTAGTCTATTTGTATTTTGCAAAATTAAAGAAAATATTCTATCTACCCTATGTTTATGAATCTAAAGTTTCATATCTAATTTATCTTTTATCATAACCAAGGGAAATTAAAACTATCTAGTCTTCAACTACATCAAAGACCCCAGGAGGATATAATATTACCTAAGTAAACAGGAAGAGCATTGCAAGCAACTTCCAAAAATCTAGAATGACAGAGACAGCTGGCTGCCTGGACAGTCACCCAATATTTCTCTGCAATGTTGGGGCATCCATCTTCAGCTTATAGTCCTAGAGTCTCTCAGTTGCTTCTCTCTGTGTTCTGTAGAATGTCTGGCAGTTTCTTTTGTGAAACAGGAACACAAAGGACCATCTTGCCTTGCAAAGTTCAGTGGTCACCTTCCTATGGGTCCTGCATGTCCAGTTTATATAACATATTATCAGCAGTCCAGGCAAGAGCAGTTTCTTGCCCAAATGGCTATTTCTGCCAAGAAGAAGATGAACTCCACATGGAATGTCTTTGATGCCCATCTTTCTCTTTGAAATAAATCAGTGCTGTCAGGAGCAGACATGTCTCAATGTCCAGAAAAGTCTAAGTTTTTAAAACATTTTAAATGCCATATTCTGTAGGTCTATAAAGTGTTTGAAGATTATCTACCTAATTGAATTATAGCTATGTATACCTAGAAAACTTAACTAGCATGACTATAAGAGCATGACTATAAGTTTGACTACCATAGATAACTAATTATTAATCTGTATTTCTTAATTATACATTACAATTTCAAATGAGCTGCACAAACATCATACCTTAAACAAGAGTAGAAATATAAATATAGTATAACAAAATTAACTTTAAATTTGTATCAATAAACTAAAATCCACAGCATTGTAAAATATTTCAAATAAGTTGTTACTCTTTAAAAGTAGATTCAATAATCTACCCTTTTATCCTATCATATCTATATCCTCTCCTCCTTTTTTCTTTAGAAAGATATTGACTATGACCAATAACAATTTGTAAGCAATCTCTAAACAAATACAAATATCCATAATCCATTTTTTGGGAATGTGGGTATAGTGTTCTAGGCTACTTCCTGCTGATAGAGGGTGCTGTATTCTTATGGGGATCCTAAGAGAATTAGGAATTATGGTCAAGTCCTGATTGGAATAGTTGCCTTGAAGCAGTTCTGGATGTTGGATCATCTGGAGACCTCTCAGGGGGGTCTTCCTTGATCAAACCATATTAGCCTGGAAGCAATCCATAGGTTCTCATCTTCTGCGGAAACAAAAGCAGAACCTCTTTTCCAAAGCAACATATCCTTAGACATAAATTTTGAAATCAAGATAACTTTAAAATATACATATTGATTTAACTCAGTAGCTTTTACAATCGAATGTCTTTCTGCAGTTAAAACTCCCAAAGACAACCTAATCCAAATTCTCTGTGTAATATCCATCTTTATGTGGCTTATTTTTTATATTACTTTTACTTTCTCTTTAAAGATTTTATTTTTTAAAACTATCTATTTCTTTATATAACTGTCTATATTCCCTTTCCTCTCTCTTCCAAGCCTATGTATATTTTTATACACATTGTAAACTGTTTAGAAGTTTATTTCATCTGAATCTGTTTTATTGTGAATCTATTGCTTTAAACTGCAGAGTGGTTAGAACAGAAACAACAGCCTTGGCTGCTGACTCTGCCCACCTCAGCTTTTGCAGAAATCTGCAGCCATACCACTTAGCTCATGGCGGCTGGCAGCCAGCTCCATCTTGCAGGCAGCTGTCAGGAGATGAGTCTGTTCTGCTGCTAGTATGAGACTGTGAGACTAGGAAGCCTAGTGTGGCTCTGTTTCTGTCCTTTCAGAATCTTTAAGTTTTCTTAGTCTATGTGGATCAATGCCCAATGGTGAGGTGCCAATTGTAGTTTGAAGTTTTCCTGTGTCCCGCCCAGTCTGCATCTGCTCAGACCCAAATAAACACACAGAAGCTTATATTAATTACAAACTAGATGGCCATTGGCTCAAGCTTATTATTGACTAGCTCTTACATTTAAATTAACCCATAATTCTTATCTATGTTTAGCCACATGGCTTGGTACCTTTTCTTAGTTCTGCCTTGACATCTTGCTTTCTCTGTGTCTGGTTGGTGACTCCTGACTCAGCCTTCCTCTTCCCAGAATTCTCCTTGTCTGCTTGTCCCACCTATACTTCCTGTCTGGCTACTGGCCAAGCAGCATTTTATTTATCAACCAATTAGAGCAACACATATTCACAGCATACAGAACAACATCCCACAACAAAATGTTAATTATATAATCTAGGTTGTAGGCACTTGGGTGTAAAAGTCAATAAGATTTTCCTCTGCGTGTCTGAAAACTTACATAATGAAGTGCTAGGAAAAACAGATTTTCCCTTGGGTTTAAAGATTGACTTTTATGCCCTAAAACATGCACTTTCATAACAATCTTACAATACTGCTAGATTTTATGGCTTCATTTGGGTTTATTGAATGTTGTTAACTTAATAGTATCACCTGGAGGTATCTATGACAACCTAAGTACATTTATAATTCAAAATAGTAAAATAAAGCCTTTCTGATGCAGTACGTGGACAGATTTCATGATTATTACCTTTGTTCACTTGTTTCAGGGGAAAGAAGGTATGTGGTTTGTGTGTCAGAGGAAGTCTGTCTACTATCTTGTAATACATAGTCAATCAAAGATGCTTTAATATTTTTCATCAAGACATGGCAGTGTAGTCTAGTTTTTTTTTTGGAAGAAAATGATAATACTTAAGTTTATTTCATGAATTCAAGCCTAACTCCTCCAAAATTTAAACCTTTGACTGATGAACAAACACCCCTTAAAACTGTTGGACCATCAAAAGTGGCAAGTTGAAGAAGACAGAATAAAATGGCCATGGTATTTATTCTCAAAGAGGTGATGACAGCAGATGTACCTTACTAAGCTAGCTTGAAGACTCCCACTCCATTCATTCAGAGGTGTTCACTATCTAGATGGAATAATGGGACATATATAGAATAAGTACAAGAATAAGTATAATATGCAATAAAACAATATTTATGTCGTACTTTTGGTTCACATGATAGTTTCTAATATACCAGTTCACAAAGAAACCTTACTGAAAGAATTTAAACCAGCATCATTTCTAATAGCAAAGAGGTCCTCAAAATGAAAGGATAATTAACTATATCAAAGCACATCCACTCAATTAAATATTGTGTAGTTCTCAAAACTGATAGTTTAGGAAAACGTCTAACATAAATAGCATAATCCTTTGGGGCTGGTGAGATGGCTTAGTGGGTAAAGGTGCTTGCTGCCAAACCTGAGCACTTGACTTTAATCCCTGGATCTCTCGAAAGTGGTGAAAGTAGAGAGCTGACTCTCCCAAA